CACCAATAAATAAATTGTAATGTATAAATTTTTTATTTTGTGACCAATAAATAAATTGTGAATTATAAATTTTTTTAATTGTGACCTTATAATAATTTGTGACATATAAAAATTCTGATTTGTGATTGAAAATAATATGTGACTAACTAAATCGTTAATTTGTGATTAAATTGTAAAGATTTGTGATCTTAACATATTTAATTAATTAAATATATAATTAATTAATAAAATCATAAATAAAATTTAATATGTATCTGATTTTTGAAATTTGAAACTTTGTTCTTATTTTTAGAATGGGTGATACTTAACCTCATAGTTTTGAATTTTCCCCTTTTCCTTTTTCACTTCGGTCTAAAAGCTCTTAAAATTTGGGCTCTTTTGAAAAAATTATATGAAAAGATTTTTGAGAGTAAAATATATTGTATAAAGTCAATTGAGATTTTTTAATTAAAATGTAACGTATAATATCAAAGCTTAATACGATACAAAATCAGTTAAAATCTAAAAGAATTTATTAAGAAAAATCAAAGCTTAATCAAAGATATATTGTTCTATTAGAAATCGATTAGATATAACAACTTAATTAAAAAGAAGCATAGCATACTATGCACTTTTTAATATATACGTCGCAAAATGCAAATGTCAAAAAAAAATGTATAAACATCATCACTATTAATCGGAGTTTGTCAGTCATAAACAAATCATCGAACATTTTCAATGCCATTGGTAGGTTATCCTTGCCTTATTAGATACATCTTTATCTCTACCTCATCAACATATCACATGTGCATTTCATTTGACATTCAATCACTATCTGTATCATTATCCTCATCATTTATGTCTTATATCTCCTTCAATTGCATTAGATATGAAAACAATTCACTAAAGTGACAAAAACTCAAAAAAAGTAACACTCAAAAAAGTGACAAATAATACAAGCTCCATTGTCCAATCTGCTTCTCTTAGTAAAACCTAATCTTACTACTCATTTTTACCTTGTCGACAAATTAATGAATTGTTGTTTCTATGTGGATTATTTTTGAATTGTTGTTGGCTTAATAAATTTTAATCTTACATCCTAAATTCTTGGTTCCTGTTCACAATATATTTTCTTTCGATTTAAATCACCGTAAGTGTACAGTTCGTTAACAATTAATAAAGTGGATTTTTAGAGTCCGAATATCATCCCACAGAGATTGAGCAGTTCAATTGTATTTATCTCGGTCTTAATCGAATCTAAATGATCAATTATGAGTTTTTGTCATAAGAAATCCTAAATCTAAGTTAAAGTGCCAATATTATGAATTGGATGGTATGATATGCAAAACAACGTTTTAATTTAACTAAAATGCAATTTGATATTTGGAACTCAGGTTACATGTATTCAATGAATGTGAGATATACTAGGATCACGAATTCTCAAGTAATGTTCAATTTAACCTTAATTCTACACTTTGACAACATAATAACATTTTGAAGAATTAATACTCCTAAATTTATCCACCATTCTCTCTCTCGATAAATTGAACCTATTCTCATACACCACCAACCTATATCTTTATGACGGATGTAAATATACGAGAATGCATGTAGTTTTGTGAGTACTCAGAGATTCGCGCAAAGCATAGGGGTATATTTTTCCCCTATTGGACCTTACAATAATTTATATCTTGTCGAATTTATTCCTTTTCTTTCGAATAAATGAAACAAACCACCAAAACTCACACAATTACGGGCTCATAATCATGGAAGCAATTAAATGCATATAAATCATTCAAACAATCAATACGTGTTTTAAAGTCAAAATACGGAATAAAGAATTAAATATCAAATTACAAGGTTCATCGATCTTCTAGTATAGATTTTTCTAACCTAACATGATGGGAAGAATAACACAACAATAAAAATCAAGAAAAGACATCACCCTATTGAAATTCTTGAAGTGAGACATTGAATCTTGGATTGAATCTTCTTGTTCTTCCTTCTTCTTTCTCTTCAAATCCTCCCAAAATAATGTATAATGCGTGGTCTCGATTTTTGGACGTACCTAGGGCTTTATAAGACTTCCCGAGATTTGTTTCCATAAGAATTTCATTCAGAAAAGGAAACCAGATTTTCTCGTCGTGATTGGCTTGGGCTGTCGTCCAGGCAAAACTCGGGCAGTCGCTTAGGCCAAGAATTTCTTCTCGGTAATTAAAATATCATGTTGGGCGATCGTCCAGGCAAAATTTCTTCCATATGTTGCATTTCAGCACCTGAAGTCGATTTTTAATTCTTTCAAGTCCTTTCTCTTGTATTTTCAACCCTTTGACTTTTAATTGCATCCAATTGAACCCGCAACATCTTTAATCTTCATTTTGTGATCTGAATCAACTATTGTAATGTTGCAACTTAGTCCTCATACTTTGGATTTTCTTTCTATTTAGTTCTTTTTCATTTCTTTTCTCTTGAATTCTATCACATTCATCAATCTAGTATTACAAAACATAATTACATAAAATTAAACCATAATTCAAATTTTTTTATCCTAATTAAGTCATGTTTATGAACTAAATAAGTATGTAAAAATACACTTATCAAACCCTCAAACTTGAACTATTGTTTGTCCTCAAACAAGATAGTGGTTCAATACTAAACAAACATGGCTTAATGACCTATCGTGTCTCGGGATTGGACTAAGTATTTGACTTTAAAAAAATTGATTAGTGCAAGAATGAAATCAACCTTTACCTGTTAATTGCATACCCGACCTGCGTGTGTGAAATCATGCTAACATATTTTGTTCATGATGGAGTTAGTCCTGACCCAAAGTGGTCAAATATGTCCTTACTTCGCTCAAGAGGTACACAACCCCCCAAACTTATTCTTTTCACTCAATTATCCCGGGGTTGTGTTTTAAAGCTAGGATTTTAGGTAACTGCAGTCCTTACCCTCTCTTAATTTGAATAGATCTCACTATCACAAGTTCATATTTCAACAAATGAAGGCTCTCTAGATTTGATTGCTTCAACACTTAAGATTAAACTAAGTTACTAGGCTCGCCTCAAAGGTGTAGTTTCTTCAATCAAATGTCCAAGGGCCTCTTGATGTTATCGTGTCTTTTCTCACTTATTTTTTGATAATTTTTTTTTACGTCATCTTCTCATTTACTTTTTGTATAACCCTTATAGCGAGCTTTAGGCCGATGATTCCCAAATCAATTGTCTTTAGGACATTAGGTTTTAAACCGCTTGCTTTTTTTCCACTTGAGTTATAAAGACTTGATCAGATGACTTTTTATTCACCTCTTCCCCTCTTACTTTCTATATAACCTATATAATGAGCTTTGGACCGATGACTCCCAAGCCAGTTGGTTTTAGGGCACCAGATTTGAAAATATCCTTACAGGTTTACTTGCTTGAATCATAAAGGCAAAAAAAAGGTGTCCTGTTTTCACAAGTTAGATTTATGCCCTTTATTATTTTTCTAGACATTTGGCCTCCAAAACCAACCCTCAATTTAAGATTTTCACATAATTTTCATCTCACTGATCTAGGCAATCCACACAATAGAATTCATGCACGGAGCCTCCACTTATCTCAATGCTTTCCTATGATTGTTCAACCATCTCCAAACCATCTTAAAGTGGTTTACTACTTGATTTAATAGAGGGTCATCATTCTTCTCCTACTTTATGTTCAAAACCCCAATCACTAACCTAACATGTCGAGCATAAGTGGCATGCATAAAGAATGTCAAGTATTACATCAATAAGTATTGGTTAATCTATTGGGCACCATATCCACAGTTTATAATTTATACCAGTCCAATAATAACATCATAACTGACAAGATTATTAAGCCCACACAAGCATACAAGAATGGAAATACAGTAAACTGAATAAAATGCAAAGAATTTTTTTAACACTCATCAAGCACATAATATGCAGTTATGAAACATAGATATTGATGAATATAGGCAAATTGATGAAAAAATGTTCGTGGCCAAGATTATGTCACCCACCCTAAACTTAGATAATACATTGTCCTCAATGTGAAGATGAAATAAAAATGTAAACAAACATAATTGAAGGACAATAATAAACTAAACGTACAAGATGGGATACGAGTACTCCCCTGATCTATACTGAGGTGGTGAATGAAAACTAGGACCCACAGTGTTTCTCCTTTCCCTGTGACATTCTTTTTGGCGGCATCCTGTAAAAGTGAAAGTATGCGTATTAGTTCATAAAGTGTAAACAGATGCAATTGAGGCAAGAAATAACCTATGTAGTGCACAAATCCCCCAAACTTGCTTCAAGGTGCACGTGTACATTGTTGGTGTGTAGAATGCATAATTTATGTCTTAATATAGGGTTTATATCACAAAAATGTGAATCACCAACGAAACTTTACTCAAAACACGCACTTTGTTCAATTTGACACATGACTGACTAAAATAAGACTTCAACCTCATGACTCTTGCTTAGTGCATTGGGACTCATGTGGACCATACCTAGACTCCAGGTGATAGGGATGTATGATCAATGACCTAAAACCATTGATAATGCTAAAAAACTGAAAAGCTCCTAAACTATTGCAAAACAAAGTAAATGAAAGGATAGAAATGTTGGGTTGTCTCCCAACCAGTGCTATTTTATAGTCGATAACTCGACTTTTCCCATAAGTGTGTTATGGAACTTTAAATATGGTTTGGGAGGTCCTGCGTAGTTAGTTCAATATAGTCTTGTTCTGCATTGCAGTTGTCCACCACACTTCAAACCTGTCATTTTCCAAGTGGTGGGACTCTCTTTCATTATCCGTTTGAGACTCCACGATGTATACCTTGATCTCCTTTGAGTTAGTGAGAGTGGATTGAGGGTGCATCATATCGGCCTCCAGAATGTCTGGCGATTTCTTCAACTCGTAATTGTAGGGGATTCCCATGTCAATCACATCAATCTGGAAACGAGTGTCTAGCTCAGTGTGATATTTCATTGCTTTGAAAACATTAAAAAAGGCCTAGTCCTTGCCCAGTCTCAGAATTAATTGTCCTTGTTGCACATCTATGAGAGCTCTTGCAGTTGCCAAAAATGGTAGCCCCAATATGATAAGCACGTCCTTGTCTTCTTCCATGTCCAGAATTAAGAAGTCCACTGGGAATATAAGTTTATCCACTTTGACCAATACATCTTCAATAATCCCTCATGAATGTGTAAGTGATCGATCAGCCAGCTGTAGAGTTACTGTAGTTGCTTTAGGCTCTCCCAATCCTAGTTTCCTAAAAATAGAGAATAGTATCAAGTTAATACTCGTACCGAGATCACACAATGCTTTATTAAAATAAAAATCATCAATTGTGCAAGGGGACAGTGAAACTCCCTGGATCTTTCAATTTTGGTGGGAGCTTTTTCTGGATCCTGACGTCGCACTCTTCGGTTAGCATTACTATCTCATGATCTTCCAGCTTGCATTTATTTGATAATATATCCTTCAGAAACTTTACATAGCTGGAAATCTGGAATAGTGCATCGGTGAACGGGATGTTGATGTGGAGCTTTTTGAAGATTTCAAGGAACTTCTTATATTGCTGCTCCATCCTATGCTTTCTCAACCTCTGGGGAAATGGAATGGGTGGCTCATAGGGGTTAACTGAATAGTGGCCTTACCCCGTGAAGTTTCTGAATTCTCCTTTGGTGTGGATTCACGTGTCCGCTCGTCTTGCTGTACAATCTCTTCTTCTGTAAAGAGTGTTGTTTCATTGTTTACACTCGGTCTCTCAACGTGTCTTTTAGGTAGTTGCATCCTACTTCGAGTTGTGATTGCTTGAACATGCTCCCTAGGATTCAACTCAGTATTATTTGGTAACGTATCCGGTGCCCTTTTCGTCATAGTGAGTGCCATCTGTCCCATCTGCGTCTCCAAGTTTTTAATTGCAGCATCTTGATTTTGGAGAGTAGTTTCAGTTTTCCTTATGAACTGGTTATTCACTTCTATTTATTTTTCAGTCTTTTTCATGAACTTTGCAAACATCTCTTCCAATTGAAGTGTCTTCTCCTGTTGAAATTGCCTCTGGGATCTATTCTGATTTTGGGTACCACCCTATGAGAGATTTGGATGTTCTTTCCAACTGGGATTATAAATGTCTGAATTTTGATAGTTTTATTGATGTTGACCCCATTGTGCGTACTCTATTTGTTCCATTCTTTGTGACAAAATTGGGCATTCTGTTGTACTATGATTCGCTCCACATTCTTCACAATTTGGTTTTCATACATATGTTGCATTCGCGGACTGTGATATGCTTTCTACGTGGTGAAATAGTGAGTCAATCTTTGTTGATAAGGTTGAATATGCATCTACCTCATAGACACTTGGAGACTTCTTTTGAATCACCCGCTCAGAGGACCACATGGTTGAAGTGGTAGCCATTCTCTCAAACAATTCCAGTGCTCCATCGATTGTTCGTGTGGAAATTGAGTCATCTGATGATGAGTCCACCATGCTTTTGAAGTACGAAAGTAACCCTGTATAGAAGAATCAGATTTGGGTCTTTTTGTCGAACTCATGTTGAGGGCACTTCCGGAGCATGTTTTTGAATCTATTCCAGGCTTCGAATGATTCAGATTCCCTTTGACTAAATATCAATATCTCATGTCTCAGTTTCGCTATCTTGGCTGGTGAGAAGAACTTCGTGCAGAATTTATGAGCCAACTTATTCCAAGTAGTGATGCTTGCAATAGGAAGTGAATCCAACCATTCAAGTGTCTTATCCCGTAGTATATGTGGAAATAACCTTAGCCTAATAACATCGTCCGAAATTCCTTGATACCTGAAGTGTTGACACATATCCAAGAATCGAGATATGTGTGTATGTGGATTTTCTTCGGCTATGCCATAAAATTGGTGTCCATTATGGAACAGCTGTATCACATTAGTCTTCAATTGAAAATTAGGCTGTCCAAACGGTAGATACATTATGCTGGACTGGCTTTGAATTACTTGAGGAGTCAAGAAATCTCCCAAAATCTCATTTCATTTGTCTACCGCATCTCCTTCATTGGTTGGGATAATAAGGTTGTTTGGTTCGTTAGCCATTTGCAACTGTACTTTTCTAGTCTCTCTTTGCAGTCGATAAAAAGTGTGCTCAATTTCAGGATTAGCTGGAATAAATTTTCCTCCAGTCGATCTTGGCAAGCAACTCTGCGAGAAAATCAGTAGTAGTGCTCAGATTCAAACAAATTGAATAACTAAATAAAATAACCTAAAAAGATGAAAAAAAACAAGAAATTAAAAATTAAAGTTCGAATTAGTGCCTAGAAAAATAAAATCAAACTAATACTCATCCCCGACAACAGTGCCAAAAAATTTTTCACGAAATATTTTCTTTCGATTTAAATCACTGCAAGTGTACGGTTCGTTAACAAGTAATAAAATAAATTTTTAGAGTTTGAATATCGTCCTACAGAGATTGAGTAGTTCAATTGTATTTATCTCGGCCTTAATCGAATCTAAATGATCAATTATGAGTTCTTGTCCTAAGAAATCATAAATCTAAGCTAAATTACCAATATTATGAATTGGATGGTATGATATGCAAAACAACGTTTTAATTTAACTAAAATGCAGTTTGATATTTGGGACTCAAGTTAAATGTGTTCAATGAATGTGAGATATACTAGGATCACGAATTCTCAAGTAATGTTCAATTTAACCTTAATTCCACACTCTGACAACACAAGGACATTTTGAAGAATCAATACTCCTAAATCTATCTAACACTCTCTCGAGATGAATTAAACCTATTCTCATACACCACCAGCCTATATCTCTATAACGGAGACAAATATACGAGAATGCATGTAGTTTTGTGAGTACTTAGAGATTCACGCAAAGTGTAGAAGTATATTTCTATCCCCTATCGGACCCTATGATAATTTATACCTTGTCGAATTTATTTATCTTCTTTCGAATAGATGAAACAAACTACCAAAACTCACACAATTATGGGTTCATAATCATGGAAGCAATTAAATGCATATAAATTATTCAAACAATCAATACGTGTTTTAATGTCAAAATACGGAACAAAGAATTAAATATCAAATTACAAGGTTCATCGATCTCTTAGCATAGATTTTTCTAGCCTAACATGATGGGAAGAAGAACACAATAATAAAAATCAAGAAAAGATATCACCCTATTGAAATTCTTGAAGTAAGACCTTGAATCTTGGATTGAATCTTCCTGTTGTTCCTTCTTCTTTCTCTTCAAATCCTCCCAAAATAATGTATAATGCGTCATCTTTGTTTTTGGACATCCCTAGGTCTTTAAAAGACTCCCCAAGATTTGTTCCCATAAGAATTTCATTCAAAAAATGAAACCAGATTTTCTCACCGCGATTGGCTTGGGCTTTCGCCCAGGCAAAACTCGGGCAGTCGCTCAAGCCGAGAATTCCACCTCAGTAATTAAAAAATCATGTTGGGCAATTGCCCTGTATTTATAATTGGACTATCGTCCAAGCAAAATTTCTTCCATATGTTGCATTTTAGCCCCTGAAATCGATTTTTAATTCTTTCAAGTCATTTTTCTTGCATTTTCAATCCTTTGACTTTTAATTGCATCCAAGTGAACCCCCAATATCTTTAATCTTCATTTTGTGATCCGAATCAACTATTAGAATGTTGCAACTTAGTCCTCATACTTTGGATTTTCTTCCTTTTTGGTTTTTTTTCGTTTCTTTTCTCTTGAATTCCACCACATTCATTAATATAGTCCTATAAAACATAATTACATAGAATTAAGCCATAATTCAAACTCTTTAATCATAATTAAGTCATGTTTGTGAACTAAATAAGTGCGTAAAAACACACTTATCAGTTCCATCCACCGTTATTATTACCTTTTGTTATCTCCATCTTTAAGACGAGGAACACTTGAAGCTATGAACCCCCCCCCTCGGCTGCCCCAAATCAAGATACTCAAAACTTTCAAAAATTAAAGAATTTATTTCAATCGAAACCATTGTTATTCTAGTTTGATTTGCAACATTCTCAATCTAAGAAAATGAGCTATGACAACAATGCCTACAATTATTTATAAGGAATTTTCCATGTGTACAGAAGCTGGGTTCACAGAAAGTTGGGCCCCGCCTGAATAAAAAATGGCCCAAAATTAACCCACTCACCTCCACATTGTTTGTGATCTGTGAAGCCCCTGTGAAAATTTTCCTGTATTTATATTAACCAACACCATACAATTACAAAACTTATCCATTTTCTCAACAATTACCACAAAATCCAAGGACTGCAACATCATACATGGTTATTTGCACGACAAAATTGTATATGTGAAACAAGAATGACTCGTTGTCAATGTCCCACAGTCCAAAGAAAAATTTTCCTGCTCTCAACATCGTACCACAGATCTACATATTTCTGCTTCTTCGGCTCCCTAGGACCCAGTAGCTAACTTTGTTGTTTCTCATCCAACAATCATGATAATGTCGCCTTGTCAGTCTTGTAATTTCATACATCGTCGTCATCGATGGTGGTGTCGGCCGCATTGATCTCAAGCTGCCCTACCCAAGGATCCCTCCCTTACATGCTCATTTTTTCACCATTTCCAACAAATTACCAATATATAAATATGATTCCCAACACAAGCTCCCCTAAAAACCTTACTAGTACTAGCTTAAAGAAGCTAGTGAAAGGAGGTGAATAAACTTGAAAATGTGGAAGGGATTTCGAAGAAATCTATAGATTTGGAGAGCTTTTTGAGGAGTAAAATTTAGTGCTGTAGAGTGGGCGCGGTATAATTTACCCAAGTTCGCTTATTGAGTTTAGGTTGCTTAAAGGCAGTAACAAAGG